GACATTAATTTATTACATTTCAAGCATGCAAAACTATTGAATGCAGAATTTATTGAATATTTACAAAAATTATATAAATTCCAGAAAATATTTGAACCAATGTAAATTCAGTGTAGTGGATATTCTACACTACAATATGTACATCAAATATACATACTCTTTAAATTAAAAATACTCGTAGACTGATATGCTTAGAATATAAAACCAAAAGACTGCACTTCATACAGCAACTTTAGAAGGGTTTCCAGTGCGAGTCTCGTTTATTGCATTCAATATGAATCAATAAGATGTTTATCAGGTAATTTTATAGATCACATTATTGAACCATACTTTATCAGTTTCTGGTCTGGTACTTTGACAGGGGATTTATTATCGAATACCCCCTGAATAGACTACTGGTATTCGTATTCTACACAAATTGTGTTGCACTTAGTGCCACCTACATACACCATAATCTGTGTAATTCAGTAAAGTGACTTTATATGAAAAAAGAAGGGATTTATAATCGTATAGACCCCGAATAGATTACTGTATTTATAGTCTACACACAAATTGTGTTGCACTTAGACTCCACTGTATATGGCATAATCTGTTTAATTCAGTAAACTGATTTCACATGAAAGAATTCTAGTGGGTCTTCTACGTTTTTCGTCAATTTTCGTATACATAATTATGAACAGATATTGAAACAAATTATAAAAATTATTCGGAAAGATATGTCAAAAAGGTTCTCGATCTCGTTCGGATAACATGCAACATTACTGAAGAATTGCTAAACATTGCGTTAAATTGTTTATTATATACATTGTATTATATACAATGTAATTGTTAAAATAGCATTTACTTCAGTGTAAAAACAAATCTACAGTGTATTTAGGTGCAAACGTGATATCGTAGTAAAACCACGATATCTCGTGTTATCTATATTGAGGCAACATATCGCTAGGTAACGATATAACCCAAGAATTTTCAAATCTGCAGAAAATTTTTCCTTTATTTTATTTTAATATCATGAACAAAAATTGTACGAAATATACTCTAAGTGAGAAATAAAATTTCTTCTCGAAAGTATTAAAAGTTAAAAGGGTTCAAACAGTAATTAAGAAACGATAACAAAAACTTGATTAATTTATTGAAATTATGCTGACCTGTTTCAAGCTGTTTCGAGTATTGCAAAGTACTCATCATCAGTGGTCCTAGGAAATATTCGAATAACTTTTTAATTAGTTTATTCTGTGTATATATCTATAATCAGTATTTATTTGGACTGCAAGTGCCAGGCTAAGAACTCGTGCCTGTCAAATTAGAAGCGATGACTAGTATAGTTTTTCCTCAAATAGCCAAGGCTGCACAAACTTTCAATGGTCAAGTTTTAAGGTTTTTGTCACATTATTTTTAAGTGACATTAACTAAAGCACTGGGCATGCTTTATTGCCAGTTTCAACGAATGACTCAATTTAACGAATGAAGAGTTATTTTCAGAAGCTATCAATATTTTTTACTCGAGTTAGCTACAACGAATAAAGTCACACCCTTTTAGCTACCTGGTCACGAGAGATTCGGTGGTAATGAAACAACTGACGGGCTTACGTAGGTGGATATCCTACTCGCTACATAGATCCTGTCATATTGAGTTTAACTTACTATATCTGCTCTTCCTCTGCAGTTACTCTACCAGAAAAGGAGTCCGTTGAAAGAATTCCAACTTCCGTTACATCAATTGAAGTTTGAGATCTAGAAACATAAGGTATTATAAGGTTCGGCAGAAACTTTCATTTGTTGCGGTTTACTGTGTAGACTCGCTCCCCACACGCATCTTTTAGTTTGCAGTTTGCCATTGTTTCGTATAATAATAACAAGATAATAATTTTACATTTTAAACAACTTTCTAGAGTAGTACTTTATGACAGAAACATTGAAATGTATTCTAACTTAGATGTTTACTTTTTCAATGGATCTATTTTCAATTTATAAAAGTTGCTTTTCAAAGAGTTAAATTAACTATTAATTTATATTTAATTTATAAATTAATTTATATAAACCAGGTCTATGAAACAGTTCTTGAGACAAGCTTACATAGAATTGCTCGTGACTAATAAAAATATTACTATTGATTTCTTTAATTCGTGTTGAAAGTGTAGTATCTTTATCAATTACTGACTGAATCAATTAATGGAGAAAAAATTGATTAAAGTCAAAGTTTCGGTTAAAATAGTTGATCTAATCACAGTAATTAAATTTACTCCCTTTTTTCCATTTTCAATTTAGTTTGCAGTAAAAAAACATTTAATAATTTTTAATTAAATAGAAAAGAATAATTCATTACTTAATTTCTTCATTAGTCTAATTAAAAACATTTTTATTCTCCATGATTATTGACACAATTCTTCATGGGGACAAAATATTTTTAAATTTTTTTTTTTTTGTTAAATGCACTTAAAATGCAATATAAAGTTGTATATACTCCCCCATATACCTTTGCCTACTAGTATGTCACATTACATACCCTCTGCTGACATATTGCATTTATTAATTTTTTTGCTAGGTAGGACAAAATCGTTGATTGCATTGTCTCCATTTGAAATGAAAGAGTAACAAAATTAATTTACTCAAATGTTAGCTTTAAATGAATTAATATTTTTGTATACATTTTTAACTGAATAGACTCCTGTTGCATATGAATCTCTGCAGTATTTTATATTGCAGCGCATATGCACTGCACTTCGTATGCAGTTTTGTTAATGTGCAATTTTTTTTTAATTTTTGCATCTATTTTTTCTTTTTTTTTTGGCAAATATTTCAATTTATTCTCACATTAATGCAACTCATTACACTTGCCTTCGCAACATAATTGCAGTGCAGCAAATTATAATGGTTCAACATTATGAGCATGTCCTTGTCCTCAGCCAGCCAGTAGTGAACGAAAAGAATATCACAGAATTATTGCTCCTACTACAGATTCGAATTCCGTTTCCTCTGCTGCTCCACTATACGTATTCCTGCCACGAATACAAAATAAAAGCCAAATTAAGAGCAGCGCACAAGTGAACTTAAAATTTTCCTACTGTTTAGAGTAGCTGCATTTAACTATTTTCCATTTTCATTTAAATTTTTCACTTTTCCTACATTTTTACTTTTTACTTTTCATATTAACTACAGAATACGAATATTTTCTTGATTATTAAATCATTCTTGCTTGCAACTCATACTGAAATAACTCATACTCATTACTTCGTATCTGAAATGCAAGTCTTAGTTTTAATATTCTTTCTAATACTCGTATATGTCTATATGTGTTTGGGGATCAAAATTCAATTTACTCTTAAGTTTTTCATTAGTTTGTATGTGAGTTAATCACTTGGAAAACAAAGGTCAATTTGGAAAATTTATTTATTTTAATATTATTGTTTATTTGACTATTTAGACACAGATACTTCAGAAAATTCTGCTTGATTTACTTAACAATTAGAGTGAATGTGTGTTATGTTAATATGCTTTTATATAAAAATTGTGTAAACATAACTGACATGTATTTATATTGGTATAGATTGGCACACTGAGAATACAAGAATTCACTTAAAATGCAATACAAATTGTTTTATCCTTCCTGATATACGTCTGTACATTAATATGTCATATTACACCCCATGATAACAGATACTATATATCAATATAGCAGCAATACAATGTTATATCAATATATATATCCACACAGTTTAAATATAACTTTATATCAGTACAGTATCAATATAATTTTTTGTCAATATAGTATCAATGCGACTTCATATCAATATAGTAATAATATAACTTTATGTCCATATAGTATCAATATGTCTTCACATGAATATAATAGTATCAATACAACTTTACACCAATATAGTAGTATCCATATAATTTTATATCAGTATAATGTCAATATAACTTTATATCAATATAGTAGTATCAGTGAAACATTATTCGAACATAACATCAATATTACTTTATAATAATACAGTACTATCAATGCAACTTTATGTCAATATTGTAGTATTATTATAACTTCATATCAATATAGTAATAATATAACTTTATATCAATATAATAGTATCAATATAACTTCTTATCAATACAGTATCAATACAACCTTGTATCAATATAGTATCAATATAACTTCATATCAATGTTACAATATCAATACAACCTAATATCAATATAGTGTCAACATAACTTAATATCAATATAGTAGTATCAATATAACTGTATATCAATGTAATAGTATCAATACAACCTTATATCAATATAGTATCAATATAACTTCTTATCAATACAGTATCAATGTTGCAATATCAATACAACCTAATATCAATATAGTGTCAACATAACTTTATATCACTGTAGTAGTATCAATATAACTGTATATCAATATAAAAGTATCAAAACAACCATATATCAATATAGTATCAATGTAACTGTATTTCAATACAGTGACAATATTACTTTATATCAATATAGTATCACTGTATCTACAAATCAATATAGCTCCACTAATATTTTATTTTTCGTCCTCAATGTTCAACATTTTTTTTTGTCTCATTTCTTAAGCACTTCCATTACTCTAAGGACCCGAATTTATTTTTTCAGTTGCGAGTATATCTATGCCTTACATATTTTTTTAATTTTTGTTAATTGCTGTAAGAAGCTGTGAATATGTAGCACACATTTACTCAATAAAAAGTTCTTCACTACAAGGACTACTTCCTCCACACAATGAAGGTTGACATATTCCAAGTGAAACTTCTGAACTACACAGATCCTCCACTGATGTGTCAATACGCTAAGTTGACTTTAATCGTGAGTTGCATGAGGCAAGTTTTTAATCTACTAAATGCAATATAAAAAGCGCAAAAAGTAACAATTTTTAATAGATTTTGTTATTTTTTTAATCTGTAGTTCTATGAGATTTTGTTTTTAATTTGAATTAGAGTTTTTAATGTTTTATTTTAAGAAATGAAAAATTTAAAAATATATTTTTCTCAAAATTGTAATCTTACTAGTTTACCTCTTCACTAGTTTACTTCAGTAGAAACCAATATGATGGCCAAATAACAACTTTTGAGTACAAAATTTATACTGAAGCTTACTTAAATAAAGGTGTTTAATGAATTATTATGTTGCTATTAATTAATCACTAATGCTACAAATTTAGGACAAACTACTTAAGAAACGAACGTATCAACAGCCTTCACACAATAAACATCGTGTGTTTTTTTTTGTTAATTCGGATTGTTGATGTGTGTTGTGACGTTTATCAATAATTTATTTACAAGCTTCACCTCAAGCACATGTTGCGGATGTTCTAGCAATTCATGTCAACCCCTGCCATCGCTACTCAAGAACTGAACTAAACTGACTGAGAATTGAGGACTGTTACTAGTAAGTTTTGCTAAGTAATAAATACACATTCGAATATGACATCAATGGATCTACAAACACACACACACACACATACACATACATACACACACCCGCACTTAGAAAATTGTTCATATAAACTTTTACCGAAGTAAACAAGCACACGTTACACACACTGTTACAACCATACAGAAACATTAGATATCTCTGCAAAGATGCTGTTTCTATCAACATCGATATGGCAGTATACATTTACTCGTAGACGTGCATGTGTGTTTGTGGGCGAGTGTATCTTTTGCATAATTTATTACTTCAAAATATGTTCATTTAGTTTTCCAAATTGTTGACATAAACAATCATTAGTTACGAAAATTTTCATAGCATTGTGGTTGCACATTCTCTACTGTCTTTCGACTGCACTCTAAACTGTAAGGGACAAGTGTGAGTGCTCGCCACTCGCTACTCGCTACTACACGGTACACGCCACTCGTTGCTGGGTGTCTCAAATTCCACCAACTGGTCTCGAACTGGTACTCGAACTCATACCGGTACTCGTACAGACAATAAAATAGATGAGTTAAATTGTACATAAATAGTTAAATTGAAGCATAGCTCTGAAACCGAGTAGGGCAACGTCGTTCCCTTTCTCTATATGTGTCGAAAAATATTCCAGTAAGCACATTTCATTTTGTCAACAGTTTATTTTTATTAAAATGATAAATGAAATCTATGTCATACAAGAATAAATTATAAATTATATTCGAATTTGTATTTTACTTTCATAAATATTTGTATCTTGATAAAGTGTTGATAAAGTGTACGACGTCCCACTTTTGCTGTTGTATTAATACTGTTGTACATACGAGACCATTTACGAAGAATTTAAATTAAATAAATTTAATTTATTTTAGGATTACTTAATTCTAATAAAATCAATCAGCAGAAAATAGTGCAAGCCATCAAACTGTTATAGAATACTATTACCTGTGTCAAGAAAAACAAAATGAATTCATACAGAAATATAAGTGAGTATATGGCAATATAGTATCTTAGCTTAAGTAATTGCAATCGAAATTTTTTATGGAAATTTTTAGAATACGAAATATTAAAATAAAATTTATTATCAATTTATATAAATTCAGTTGTCCACTATTTAAGTGATATGAGATTTAACAGGTATTCCAGCCACAATCTTGTCTTCTAAATAAGTAAATAAAGCGTGATCTATATCTCTTAATTAATAACTAATAAAATAGCATTAGTCTTAATTATTAATTATTCGAACTACACTCTCGGCTCTATGAATAAAAGTCGAGAGTGTACCATAATACGAACTATACTTGGTATTTCACAAAAACATTGCTTCGTAACCAATGTCTTTAAAGATCATCTTTGATCGTCAAATCAGGTTACTATAAGGCAGGTGAATGAATATCGTCATAATGGTTTTTATTGTCTCTTTTGCTTCACTTAAATGCCTTAATAGATATAATCTAGTTTTTATGTGAAAAAGTATGTAGGGTATAAGAATTTATATTTATTAAGAAAAGTGAAACTTTAACCAATTTTAAAATAGAAAAATGCTTCAATTCTTTTTAATCGCATATATAATTGAAAAACAAATTAAATAATCTGCTCTTCATTTTATGACTTTATTCCAATTTCTTTTATATCAGCACAATCACACACACTTTATTGTAGATGTCACCTTTTATATTTAAACATTTTCTAAACCAAAGGGGACCAAATGCACTTTTAGAAATTCGTGAAATTAATGCATTTTGCATATTTGCTGCATTTATTAAAAAACTCACTGTGTAAATTAATGAAAGACACTGCAACACTCCAACACCGTAACACAAACTAATTTCAAACGAGTTTCATTACAAAACGAGCTCATTGGCAACACTGGACACAATAATTTACTACTTCCCCGCTGTTGGAATTTCGTAGTCCGGAGCCGTTGTGCACTTCTGCTCCAGTCTTCATTGGTCGAAAATGCAATTCGCCTTGAAAGTTTTGAATTTCCATTTAAACATTTTACCACTTCCCGCATACCGCTCATCGCACTCCCTGCATCCTCGTCGACGTCGTCGTTGTCGTCATCGTCATCGTTGTTATTTGTTATCATTGGTACGAGTTTATTATTTTGCCACTTTTATCCTTTTATCCTGCTACCACCGGTTAAAGAAGCAATGCTATATTTTTTAAGTTTGTATTTTAGCCACTTTTTAATTTTGTGTTTTGTTTTGCCGCAAATTGTAAACTTTTAACCTTAGTAGTTAGACAAGATTGCAGTTCTACATGGTTACTTGGCCGAAAGCACCCGGTAGAAGCAACACTCCTTCTGAACTACTCCACTACTACTTATTCCTTTTCTGCTCGGACTCAGTTTTGAGAGCGCAACAGAAGAAAAATTTAATTCAGAAACTTGCATAAAAATGTGCATTTAATGGAAATTTACTACCTTTGCAAACAAAGTGAAAGAAAGTAGTGTAATATGAGCAGAAGAAACATTTTTACTAAAAAAATAATGAAAGTACACTAAATAAATATTTTATTTAAATAAAAGTGCTAAAATGCTGCCTTAAAGTCAAAGCCAGCAGCACCGATTCTCTTATACTTTACGCAACATAACACGTGTCCTTTTACACAGTTGTGTATTCAGATCCAATAATGGCTAATCTTCAAAAAATATCATTTTATTCTCATCGGCCATAATTGCCTTTAATATGTCAGGTATTGTCTTTCGGATGGTTAGCATGACATGGAAATGATTTTTTTTTATTGCAGATTTTAACTTGGAAAATAATCCGTAATCGCATTTGATGACCCTATTCATCCAAGTAGCCAAATGTGTGGATGATGGATAAAAATGGTTCCTTTTTTGGTGACATGTTTATGAAAGATTCTAATTCTGTGGGACGGTGCTTTACCGTACAACAAAAACTAAACGCTTTACTTTCGATATTTTAATAAAACTTGTCAAATTTGGATACTAAACCATTTTAGAGCTCCCAAAAAATATTCCACATTCACTATCTGTTCTTCTGGGATGAATACACTGTTATTCCTGATGGTATATACCATATAACCGTGATGAATGTCATCACAAATCAAATTTAGATTATTAGCAGAAGAACTGGACTAAAATTTCTAGTTTAGGCAATGTTGAGCATAAACAATTGTGTGCTGCCTTTTAATCCGATCATCTAAAACTTTTCAAAATAAAATATAAAATAACTAAGGAAAGTAAGTTAAGAAACCAGTCTCCCATTTCTATATTTCATTTCAATTATATTCCAAATATTCTCTTATCTATATATTCTGTCAGTACCATGATGATTTTGTGGAATGGTGCATTATGGTGTATCAAAAATCAAACATTCGCAAGCCTGGTAAAATAGCCATTCATTGACTATTCTAGCAGGCAAAATGACAGATTTTCAATCATGTATAGCTGATTGAAGAATTGAGCATTAGACAATAAAATATTAATGAAGGTAAAATTGGCTTCAATATTCTGATCAGATTTTTTAAATTCGGATCTTTAGTGATTTTAGAACTTTCAGCTAATATTGAACCATTTATCACAAAATTCTCTTCAGTTCCGAGGGAATATAAAAAGTAAAACTATTAACCTTATTCTTATTTTTCTCTTTGGTAAGAGTAATTTTCTCTTTCTGACTATTCTGGTGACTTTCATGTCACTCTCCTATATTTTATTTAATCAGAACATTTTCAGCATATCTATGCTATACTACACTCTTTGGAACCCACCATCAGGGTATGTGTCACAAAGCATATATTCCATTCGTTTACACCAAAATTTTGGACATTAAATTGCGATCTGCTGCTCTTTTTAATATTCCAATTTCTCCTTTAATGAGTCTCAGAGATATACTGCAATCGCTATTAAGAGGCTTTTTGGTTTTCCAGATGTTCTTTGAAGTGGTTTTGGATAGCTATATATATTATAGGTTGTGAGATCCTTACGACAATTATGGTGTAGGTCAAAGCGATTGAAAACTAAGGCTCGGGATTAGTTGACGCATACATTTTTTAGCTCTTGTAGAACTGCAAGAAGAACTGCAGTAAGCCTTGCAGTATTCACATGATCCCTTTTGATAAGTTTCCAATATTTAATTTTATTATTTATTGTTTGTCTTCCTTAAAGCATATTTTTCATTTTAATGAAATACTGTGAAAAAAAGAAATGTCCTATATTCAAATCAATTGCGAAATAAGTCACCTCACTTTACTAATACATGCAGTTAGTCATCATCTCCAATCCATTCAAAAAACAAGACTACTTCAGTCAATCCTAATTTTGTTTTGTCATCTTCAAGGTAGGCTAGATAAAATGCGAATTTGTCAAAGAAACTAAAACAGATTTTTATCCGGTATTATACCGTTTTGGCTAAGTATTTAAATTAAAATCATCTTTTGATTTCTCAACAGCTGCGTATTAAAGCATCATGCAATCATTGTTATTAGTTAAACTTTTTAGACAAGGCTAGAATTGAACATTTCAGTTAGTATTAGAAAATATTAAAGTTAGAAAATTATAACAAAAATATTCCACATTTTAAAAGAACTTTATAGGATTTGTTGGTAAACTTTTCTGTTGATTACTCATAACCATATTTTCGCAATTTTCCTCTTATTTAAATTTCTTCAAGTCCACAAAATATCCTCAGCATTGCCATAACTACAGAGATTTTTAGGCTAAAAGTGTTAAATGTAGTAAAGAAGAAAATTCAAAAACTATTTAAATAAATCATGATTCACTCCTTTTTATTAAATTATCAACAGTCAAAACCACATTGAAAAGTTTTGCATCCAAAATGGTGCAGGTGCAAGCAATAAAATGAATCTTTATGCCTTGTGCCTGCAATCAAAACTTGTGTTAATGCACTAGCAACTAGCAACTAGCAACCAGCAACAAAGCAACTAGCAACGACGATGTTTGAGACGGCGATAACCGCAACAACCATTGCAGTCGTGGAAATCGAAACCATTGCAGTGGCATGAGCCACGACAGAAGCTATCAATTTCAGTGGCTATTTGTTGAAACTTTTTTCCAGGCTAACACAAACGCAAACATCATTTGTAGAGCAGCTGCAACAGCAGCATTGCCAACATAATCACCAACAATATTGCCTTTGCCTGCAACAAATTATTGTTGATATTCTTGTAACGCAATGGGATTTGTGTTGCTCATTTCGCGCAACAAAAGTTTTAAATTCTTCATTCCGTGTTTTTCTTATTCATTGTTATACTTTGATTTCATCTTTGCTTTTCACTTCCCTTCCAATCTCCGTACCCGGTGGTGCTCGGAAATTTTTTTAGTTCAATTTCCAACCACAAAAGTAAACGAAAACGAATTAGTTTCGCACGTTAGGCAAACCAAGAAAAACGCTGAAAAAACGCAAAAACGCAAAGTTTCACTAATGCGTCTTAATGCAAAAGTTTGTTTTTCCTCATCTCATCTCCAAACTCCACGTCCACGACCACGTCCCTGGTGCTGTTGCTGTTGCTGAGATTGAGCTAGTACTCTGTATGAGTATCATAGCACTTGCCTGGGGTTGGGTTACAGTTCACCTGGCTCTGCCTGGGATGCGTTGTCAGTGCTTCTGTACATTGGTTTAGGACTTTGATTGAAATTTGTTGCAAATGACTTGAGGGATACTTTCGGTTACTTCTCCTAATAAAAATTGTACTACTCCGAGTGTCTGAGCGTTTGTTGAGATTTGTTTTGCAGTTAACTTATTTCGATAAAAGGCATCTTTAACGTTAGTTGGAAGCAAAACTTTAATTGTAATTTATACCTCAAAGTCCAATCATAAACACAAACTTTAAAGTAATTGCAGTTGTGGTTGCATTACATCTGAGGTTGAATCATAAAAACCGGAACAATGGAATAGTTCTGTGAAATTTATTTATGAAAGTTTGTAGCAAATTATGTAAATTGCATCTTTGATCTTGTTAGTGTTTAACTCTGAAATAGTTTAAGTTC